TGCAGACAGCATTCAATGCAATTACCAAATGGGCATCTAAGTGACGCATCAAATTAAACAACACCAAATCAATTCACGTCGACTTTACATTGAAAAATCGGCATATCGTTTAAGTGCTAAGTATCAAGGTATCACCTTAGATGCTAAGCTTCGCTGTAAATAGCAAGTCAAAAAAATAAGTTTGATTTGAAATTTGCTAACTTTACCGGCAGGACATCCAGTTTTCAGTCCAAGTAAGTTGTTAATATACAATCAAGTTCTAAAGCCAGTCTAGGCCTCTGGGCTCCGTAGGTAGACTATGGGGTTGCTCAAGCCAAAGTTATATTGCCGCCATCCAGCGCTTGCAAATTAAGGTACTAAGGATTTTAGTTAATGCGTTACGCTATATCCCGGACCTACACCGTGTCTCAGGCGTGAATTCAGTGGTAAATGAAAAATCAAAATTGCAAAGTCTCACGAAATGAAGACAAGAAGCCTTCGACCTAGCACGGAACAGTAGCAGCAAATGTACATATTTCATTAACATTGAGCTTTTAAGTATTTTATTTTTATTTAATTAGAAAATAATGTTGAATTGTTTGTTAGTATTTGTTTATATACTAGGCACAATTGTAAAAATAAAATTATAATAATAAAAACATTGTTTTGACACTCTAGTCAACACAGAGTTGAAACTGTAATACCACAAAACAAGGTGAGGTTCGATAACACTTCAACCGAAATTTTTTGGCGGGTTGAGTTGGTAACGATAATACTGTATTTAGAAACTTCAACTAAAATTAAAGCAACAGCGTCAGTTTACATTTTGGAGAAACACTGTTTAAAGTGTTTGACAGCATTGTTCAAATTTGTGTACGAATTGGTAAAACGAAGGTAATGACGTTCATAGAAATTTAGAATTGTTATGTATAGTAGATTTGAATTAATTAGTTCGTTTGCGGTGAAACTCTTGCGCCTATAGGTGTGTTTCGCAAGTTGGTTAAATTAAATTTTTAAAGGATCTGCAAAATTATTTTTTTTACGTTTATGAATACTGCGTTCAGGCGCAATAATTATTGTTAGTTTAATTAGTTAATACAAAAATACACTGGGAAATTTTCAAAATAGTTTACAACAAAAATTAGAAACGAGTTAAAATATTTGAAAATATATTTTTATGATGTATTAAGTGACAACTAATTTTTAATTTTAGTATATTAACAAATCAAACATGTATGGAAGCACTAAGTTCGACTTTAACTTACTTTAACCGTAAAAATGTTGCGAAAGAATTCAACATTCATTGTTCGACGAAATTGTGAATGGTTACAATCAAATTTGTATCTTATTAACTTATATTATAGTTCATAGACTAAATTAGTTTGATAATTATATTTGGTTCCCGCCAGCGAAAATTATATTCAATAATCCTAAATTAAGATATACATATCTGACATAAACTCAATCTAAGAGGATAAATTTAATATATTGAGATATTGCATCTCATCAATGTTAACCAGAGGAGCAGAATTCGGTGCGTTCGAGATGGCAATCACGACAGCAATGTTGCAAATTGTCATAGTATCACGTTTGCGTGATTTTGGCAACACTTGCAACAGCATCACGTTCTGCTGTCATTTTGCACGCAATTTATGCAAATAATCGGCAACACTAAATTTTTGTCTGCACATCAGCAGAGTATCAGAAAATATGCAACACAGTTGCTGTACTGCTGCAATTATTACATAGCCGAACGCCCCTCTATTACATTAGGAATATGAGGTCTAAACCAACTTCATTCGTAAACCACATAATTTCACTAAAATATCACATATTTTGACACCTTAACGGTTTAAAGCGGTTTAAAGATAGGTATATTGGAGGCAGAAAAGGTCAGCGCTGATTGCACAAACTTTTACATTACTCAGCTTTACTTTAGATTTTTATTTCCAAGCAATTTAATAAAATAGTATTATT